ATTTGTTTATATATATACCTCCTTAATATACATATATATATTTATATGTATGTATATATATATATATTTAAATATACCAGTCTTTTATATATTTATACGTATATATATGTATAAATACATGTATATTTTGTGTATATATATTTTATATATACATAACAAATATATATTATACATACATATATATATAAATATATAAATATATATATATATATATATCAATTGATTTTTCAATTAAAATCTAAATTTCCAACCGATGTCCGTTGGAATTCCGTTGGAATTTTTTTTTTTTAAATTTTCAAAAAAATTTCCAACCGGCATCCGTTGGAATTCGGTTGGAAATTTTTTTAAAACAAATTCCAAAAAAAATTCCAAACGGCATCCGTTGGAATTCCGTTGGAATTGTTTTCTAACAAACATCCGTTGCAACTCCGTTAAAAATTTGCAACCGATTTTTCCAACGTTTATCCGTTTAAAATTTCCAACCTAATTTTTCAATTGAATACGTTGAAAATTCCGTTAAAAATTTCCAACGGGTGTTTCCAACGGGTATCCGTTGGAAATTTTTAACGGAATTTTAACGGAGATCGTCGTTGAAACGCCGTTGAAAACCGTTGAAAATCCGTTGGAAAATTTCCAACGGACAAATCCGTTGGAAAATCCGTTGGAATTTGCGGATTTTTTTGTAGTGCAGGGAGCAGCACCAGCTCCACAACCGGTCCCTGCACCACCACCGCCTTATGTACCACCACCTCCACCTCCCGTACAACCAGCTGCAGCTCCTGCACCTGCACCACCTGTGATGAATGCGGAATTTTTCCAGTTCCTTGATCGAGTGGAGCGTCGTACAGCTCCAAGATTTGGTGGTACATCTGATCCAGCTGTGGCCGAGGATTGGTTGGACAGGATGACTCAGATATTTGATCTTATCCAGTGTCCTGATCTTTTTAGGGCACACATATCCATCTACCATCTGGATGGAGAGGCGAGACACTGGTGGAAAGGAGTTGCCCAACCATTTGGGGTAAACTATCAGTTCACTTGGGGACAGTTCGTCCATGCATTTCGAGAGAAATATTACTCACCTGGAGTACAAGAGGAGATGGCGATGAAGCTTATTAGCCTTCAACAAGGAAATCGTTCAGTGAAAGAATATGAGAGGGAATTCAATTCATTGGCTAGATATGGAGGTGAGATGCTGCAAACAGAGACCTTAAGGGTTAAGAAGTTCGTAAGAGGACTTCGTCCATCTCTCAAGGCAAAGGTAGGTTTCGAACAACCACATATATCTCATTGAGATAATGTTACCTTGCTAATTTGAGATTGTTTATCTATAGGTGGAACTTTTGAAAATCAACTCGATGTCAGAAATAGTTGATATGGCTGATCGAGCTGAGAGAACAGAACGTGAAATCGAAGCATCTACTAAGAGGTCGACTAACCCCAGTCATAGGCGTCTAGTTTAAGATGACAAGAGTAAGGGCAAGGCGGTTATGCAACCTTATACATTCGGTATCCCGATGTGCTCACAATGTGGGAGACGTCACTTTGGCGAGTGTAGATTGCTCCAGATTACTTGTTTCCACTGTGGAAGGGCGGGACATTATAAGAGCGATTGTCCCGAGTTAAAAAGAGAAGCACCTAAGAGGATTGAACAAAGACCAGTTCATCAACAACCAGCTGCTAAGAGACCAGCGGTGAAGCCTAGGGTCTATGCTCTAGGAACTGAAGAGCAAGAGGAAGAAGAAACGACAGCAATCATAGGTATGTCGATATTTTGATTTAGCCACAACCTTTCCAATCTGATTTGTTCAGGTTTGTAAATATGATTTAAATTTGTTTTGTTGTTGTTTTCTATTCCGTTTCGTATAATATTTTTATTTGATTGTGGAATCTACGTATATTTATATCATATCTATATACATATATATATATATATATATATATATGAAAGTTTTATTTGTAGTAATTTGGTAGGTCACCTAAACATATCTATGTATATAAAACTCTATGTGGCATTTTGTTTGATTTACATTCATTTGTGTAAAACATAATATATCCCAACGACTTTTATGTATAAATATATATATTATTGCATTCAACGATTGCTTTACTCCTATGAACATAATAAATAAATATACTATATTGCTAATAATGTCGTTATTGATAAAATTAAATCCATTGTAGGAATCGAAAAATCAGATGCACCGAGTGATATCAATCCATTTAGGATGGGATCAGATGAGTATACATCATAATTATCGGTGTATTATGGTCAGATTTTTAAGGATATGGGATGAACAAAATCCTTTCAATAGGAATGAGTTCAATGGCATCAGATTCTTATTAATTGATGAAAATGTACGTTCTGTTTAACATTTATTTTCTTATGTTTTGATTATTAAAAATCTAATATTTTCTACTTATAACATTGCACGAGAATGTTGTTGAAGAAAAAATATTTCAGAATCATGCAGAAAAATTTAAAAATATAATAAATGATGTATTTTTAATAAGGCATTTCAAGATTCTACCAAATAAAAATATATATAAATTAACGAACAACAAATTTCGTATTTATTTTACAGAATATACTACTGTTGAAAAAGGTGTTATAACTGCTTATAGTATTGCCAAAGAGAAATTTCGAATATGCTTATACGACGATTTGTTGGCATTGACAAACAAAAAACAAAAAGAAATATTGGATTTTATAATTAATATAAATTATTATAGTCGTTACGGGTGTAAATCCAAAGATTATCTACGGTAATTATTTAACACAAATTAATTCATAAATATTTGATAGATTAATATTTAAAACTTCATCATTGTTATATTGAGTTTATTAATACATTTTATGTATTAGGTGTTCTATCGCTCAACACAACAACATCTACAAAGATTTACACAGATGAAAAACTGAATATATCTCTGTACTGATAAATTATATCATTCTTGAAAAAATCTATACTTATAATATTTACCAAAATAATTTTTATTATTATCTCACAGCTAAAATTTTTTACAGACATTGAAGAAAAGCCACACCCGTATTGAAGAAAATCATAATAAATCGGTTACATTAAAATGATAAAATAGATATGCACTGATATTAATATTTTGTCATTGATTTAATTTTGTTTACAAAAAATATAATGATATTTTTATATTATTAAAATTTTCTATTTATATTTTATGTAACTCAAACAACTTATCTTAGTTTTTGCTACATTCATTTTACCAAATTAAATACCAATATAATAAACATGAAGTGTTTCATATCATACATGTACAACTCGAATGCATCATAAATTTTTTACCAAATTAACCCAACCAGTTTATTTAATATGAACTGAAAAAATATACAATTTTTTGGTTTAGTGACGATGCATGTTCACGTGGCAAATTTTAATTATGTGTCCAGCTATATCATCTATTTACTTAACGCAATTCACAAAAATTAAACGTCGTTGGAGATGGTGTAGGAAATTATTAAATATTTTGAGATTTGAGATTTTAAGTCTGCACGATACGCGCAGATTAGAACCTAGATGAAAAATAAATGGTTAAAAACAAAAAAAATGGAAAAAATATAAAAATTGAAAATATAGAAAAGGAAAAAAATGGTGGTTACCGAAAAAAATGTTACGTGCACCTATAAATTTTATAAAAATTATGAATAAATTATATTTTGTTAATTATATAGTGGGGCATAATACTCCACTTCATTACATTTGGATCCAACTTTATCATCTTATTCTGATAATTTTTTTTAATTGAATAATATAAGTTATAAATTTAAAAACAAAATATATTATATTTAATTTTAAAATTAATCAAAAAAAATATGTAAAACCGTAAATATTTAGTCCACGCGATGCGCGCGGGTTATTAACTAGTATTTTTATAAAGGGAAATTCGCAGATAAATACCTATACTTTTACAAAACTCCCAGATTAATACATGTACTATAAAATTCCCAAATAAATACCTGTACTTTTCAAAACTCACATATAAATACCCATACTTTTGAAAAATTACCAAATAAAGCATTCATCGTTGACGGCGTTTAACGTGTCACTGTTCAACCTAAAAAATCGATGATTTAGCTTTATAAAATCCGACTAAGCATCCACGTGTTTTGCCACGTCGGACTAACCGGTTCAATTAATTGGATCGATTTGACAAAAAACCAATCCGGTTTGGTAAACATTTCAGAAGCCCTAAAATCCCCAAATGAGAATCGGGCACTCAAAATCTGGAAAAATTAGAAACCCTAGAAACTAAAAACTCTCTGAGTACGAATTTCGGCGAATCGATAGTCTCCTCTTAGTGGTGAATCGGCGCTCTCCTCTTGTCGATTTCTCTGTGAAGGTATGTGTCAGCTCTCGACTCTCGACTCTCGACTCTCAAGTCTCGGTCTCTCACCTCCACTCTCTCTTTCGTTGGTGTAAGGGTTCGAGTCTCTGGATTGTCGGTCTCTCGCCTTCTCTTTCATTGGTCCTTTTTAGGTCTCACCTCCACTCTCTCTTTCGTTGGTGTAAGGGTTCGAGTCTCTGGACTGTGGGTCTCTCGTCTTCTCTTTCATTGGTCCTTTTTAGGTTTCGAATCCATGATTCTGGGTATAGATAGAGTTGATTTCTTGATTATTTGATGGAATCTGGGTATATGTTCGGTTCTGCGTATAAGTTAGATTATAGGTTTAGGTTCGATTTTAGGATATAGAATTCGGTTGTGGGTATAGGTTCTATTGTAAGTTATGGTTTTGGAGCTCGATTTTTGAATTCTGTTGTGATATAAATGGTCGTTTTTAATTCGGTCGTGGATATAGGTTATGGAGTTCGATTTTTGGTTGATAATAAGTTTTTAAAATTTGTGCAGGGTTACATTTTAATCTACGTATGAAAAATGGCAAACAAAATCGATGTCAATTTTCATATTGGAGGAACAATGATAAATGTGGATGGAGAACTCAGCTACATAGGCGGATTCAAGATCAATGGAGTGAAGTTCGATCCAGATAAGTTATCATGGTTAGTCTTTGAGAAGTTTGTGCAATCCCATAAGATATCATCTCCTATTTCTATGATGTTGTATAAGTTGCCTCATGAAACAATGCAAGAATTGAGGGTATGTCATGAAGATGTAGTTTGGGAAGTTTGTGATATGTGTAAACTAGCTGAGGAATGGAAGAAGTTAGAGATCTATGTAGATCATGAGATATCAGAACCAAATGTTGTGCTAAGTCTCCCCGATAGTCAAGAGTGTCCGGATGACATTGTTGAAGAAGAGATTCAGAACGAGGATGTTTTCGAGAAAGAGTTCAGTGAAGAAGAGGTTAGGAGTGAAAATGTTATACCAGAACAGGTTCAGGATGAGGATATTAGGGAAGCATTTAGAGAAGAATTTGCTGTAGAAGAAGAGGGTAGAGAAGAAGAGGCTGTAGAAGAAGAGGGTAGAGAAGAAGATGTTGTAGAAGAAGAGATTCAAAATGAGGATGAAGAAAATGATTTTTGTAGAAGGTCATCATATGAACAACCTGCTGAATATATCAGTGATGAGGATAATGCCAATAAAGACGACGTTTATCCTCGAACACCAGAAAATACAGCAGATGAGTGGGAGTCTTTTGAAAAGCCTAACTTAGGCGGTCTGAAAAAAAGATTATGTGTTGAAGGAGAGGATCATATAAGCTTTGGTAAGACATTCAACAATGCTGAGGAATTTAAAGATGCTGTTTTCCAATACATGTTGAGTACCAAATATAACGTTAGAATATCGAGATCGGAGAAGACCAAGTATGTTGTTGTGTGTGGTACGAAGACTTGTCCGTGGCGAGTGTATTGTTCAGTAGATGGCCGTTTCAATAAATGGCTGATAAAATCATATAACCCGGATCACAACCACACGAAAGATGGATATGCATCATTATTGACGATGAGGCACATCGCAGCCATGTTCACCGAAATGCTCAGAAGACAGCCTTCATACCCTGCTGCCCAGATGCAATATGATTTGCAAACAGCTTGTGAGATGACTGTGTCATTATCAAAGTGTTTCAAAGCTCGGCAAATTGCGTTAGGAGTGTTAATGGAGGATCAACGAGTTCAGTTTGCAAAGTTATGGGATTATGAAGCGGAGCTTAGGAGATCAAATCCCAACACAACTACTGAAATTGTGACAAAACTTGAGAAAGGTGTACCAGTTTTCGATCGATTTTATATATGTTTCGAGGTTTTACGCGAGACTTGGAAGAAACATTGTCGCTCTGTGATCGGGTTAGATGGATGTTTTTTGAAATGGGAGCTTAAAGGAGAACTCCTTTCTGCTGTTGGAAGAGATGCGAACAACCGGATTTATCCTATAGCATGGGCAGTTGTACGCGTGGAGGATACCGATAGTTGGACTTGGTTTGTACGTAAACTACAAGCAGATTTGGACTTGGGGGAAGGACACAATATTACTATACTTTCAGATAAACAGAAGGTGAAGTTTGTGTTTATTTGATTTCATTATATGTAATCTGTTGAATATACATTATATTTTATTGGTTTTGTATTTGCTTTCAGGGTTCAGTTGTACGCGTGGAGGATACCGATAGTTGGACTTGGTTTGTACGTAAACTACAAGCAGATTTGGACTTGGGGGAAGGACACAATATTACTATACTTTCAGATAAACAGAAGGTGAAGTTTGTGTTTATTTGATTTCATTATATGTAATCTGTTGAATATACATTATATTTTATTGGTTTTGTATTTGCTTTCAGGGTTTGTTAAATGCTATTGAGAATATACTTCCATTTGCTCATCACCGTATGTGTACTCGACACATATATGCCAATTGGAGGAAGTCATTCAAAGATTTGGAGCTCAAGAGATTGTTTTGGGCAGCTGCTAACAGTTTCCATGAAGGTGAGTTTCAAAAGCATATGGAAGCTGTGAAGAATTATAATCAGCTGGCATATGAGGCATTGATTCGTTCTAGACCGAAACAATGGGCACGAGCGTTCTTTAGTCTTCAGTCTAAGTGTGATGATGTAAACAACAATTTGTCGGAGAGTTTCAATGGGTCAATCAGAGAAGCACGTATGAGACCTATGATTGACATGCTGGAAAGTATCAGGCGACAAACAATGCAAAGAATTGCGAAGCGGCAACGCCAGTCCAGCTCTTGTATCACTCCATTTCCACCAGACGTAATGGATGACATCGAAGCTGTTCGACAGAGGTCAGTCTATTGTATAGCGATACCAAGTGGACATGGAAAATATGAAGTTTTACAATTCGGTATAAGTTATACCGTAGACCTTGGTGGGAAGACTTGTGCTTGCCGGAGATGGAATTTAACCGGATTACCATGTGAACATGCATTATGTGTCCTCAATGCAAGAAAAGACGACATTACAAGGTATGCTTGTTACTATTCTTGAGTAAGTTTCTTAATATATGTTGTAATCCTCAGAGTTTTTCATGTATGTTTGTTACAGGTATTCTTCAGAGTTTTTTCTGACATCAAAATGGAAACAAACATATGAGAAAAATCTGTTACCAGTCAATGGGGAACCAATGTGGCGTAAGTTGGGAAGAGAACCTATCGGTGTACCCGAGAAGCGGGCGATGCCCGGACGACCGAGGAAACATAACCGAAAAAAGGATCCTCACGAATCTCCTACAAAGAAAGGTCATATGACACGTCATGGTAGGATAATGACATGTAGTCGGTGTAAGCAGCCTGGGCATAACACAAGCACGTGTATAAATGATCCGGTACAGAATAATGTCCAGAAACGAGGACGAGGAAGACCAAGAAAATTACAGGTATATGTGTTTCATAGAATTTTTTAAACGGAAATAAACTACTGATCAATTTTTTCCTGTGTAAATAGGTCGGTGGACTGTCAAGACAGCCCGAACCATCAAAAAGAACAAGAACAACGACCAATGTTTCTGTCGATTCGGTCCAATCGAGTCAAAATTCTATCCAGGTTGGTCCATCAAGTCAAGCTCATCCTCCAAGACCTAGACATAATCGTCACCCTAGACCAAGACAGAACCATCCCTCAGCCCAATCAACTCAACAAATGCCTCTTCCTACTCAATCCAGCCAGAGTAATCAGCCTTCTGTCCAATCCAGCCAGAGTGGTCCTCCGACTTCACAACGTCTTCGTTATCGATCAACTCGACCCCTTGGAGGACCGCATAACCGAAATACATCTTCCATGATATTTGTTACTCCATATACGGGTAGAGTATTTCAGGTTCCAAGGCCGGCTCCTCCATCAAACTCGGGAAACAAGTGACATAGGTTTCGGCTATTAGGAGTTTATATTTTGGCTCGGAATTCTGTATTGACTGCTCTTTTTTGTTTCAGAATTCTGTATTGACTACTCTTTTTTGTTTCAGAATTCTGCATCGGTTGTCTTTGGATTTTTTTGGTTCAAAATTCTGTATCGTTTGTCTTTGGATTTTTTTTGGGTTAATGTGAACCTATCGGCATATCTATGTATTTTGTTTATCTTCAGATTAATGAATTTACATGTTTATGATGTGTATAATTTATTTTCTGACTCATGATTCAACAAAAAAAAATTAACACAAGTGAACAACGAAACATAAATTCATGACATTAATACCAACAATAACATAGAAACATTAGTCCATGACAAATCCCAACACATAAACGACTTCACTCCTTCAATAAACCATAATAATACAACCCAAACGAAATAAAAACCATCATTCCTATGACCATTTTTTGGCAAATTGCTTTGAATTCTTCAACCTGAGCTTCAATCTTCTTAACTCTAGCTTCGATTCTATCAATCCGAACTTTCATTTTCTCATTTTGAACTTCAATCTTGTCATTACGAACTTCGATCTTCTCATTTTGAACTACGATCTTCTCATCCCGAACTTCAATCTTCTCATTTCGAACTTTGATCTCCTCTTTCAATGATTGCAGTTCTTCGATAATGGCTTCATCGACCCATTTCCACATGTGTGAATAATTTCCCTGAAACGAATCATTGTAATTCATTTACCATTCTTCCTATAACGCATAAACAAATGTGGAACTGACCTCTTGTGATTCGCAACAGAAGAATAATCTTCCTGGGTTTTTTGAAGTTTTCGATATCAATTTTATAACGGAGCGTCCGCATTCACATTGCTGTGGTATTCCTTTTTGTTTGGATGATCTAGAACTGCAACAGACTTGTGAATCTGTCGAACTCATGAATCTGAAACTCCGCAAACAGCGTAATCTGAAACTCATCAATCAACATGAATCTGAAATCTAAGAATAGCGTACCACTCAAATATGAACATAAATCTGAAATCTAAGAATAGTAAACCCTAAAATTTTGAAAATGGAATTCACACTTACCTAATAACCGACGACGTAGGACACGAGAGATAGGTCGGCGGTGAAGAACAGCGACGAGTCGAGGAGGAGGAGAAAGCCGATGAGGACCAGAGAGGAGAAAGTGAGAGGACTGGCGAAGGGAGATGGAAAAAATGAGAGGATGAATCGTGGTTGGGGAGGGGATGATAATTATAAACATTTAGGGTTTCCATTTTTTTTACCAAACCGGATTGGTTTTTTGTCAAACCGATCCAATTAATTGAACCGGTTAGTCCGACGTGGCAAAACACGTGGATGCTTAGTCGGATTTTATAAAGCTGAATCATCAATTTTTTAGGTTGAACAGTGACACGTTAAACGCCGTCAATGATGAATGTTTTATTTGGTAATTTTTCAAAAGTATGGGTATTTATATGGGAGTTTTGAAAAGTACAGGTATTTATTTGGGAATTTTATATTACAGGTATTAATCTGGGAGTTTTGTAAAAGTACAGGTATTAACTAGTATTTTTATAAAAAGGGGGTTACTGCTCACCTCTAGGCATAATCGAGAAAAAAATTATTTTTATTTTCAAATATTTAATAAAATCATTTAGTTTTACTCTGAATTTCGATCCGTTACATTTTCTCCGAACTATTATTTTTCCGTCTAAATAATGGTGGACCAATATTGAGCCCATGGAGCTCTATAATGGGCCTTATTGGGCCATAATGCCACCGTTTCAAGCCGGGCACGTGTACGTATTGAATGAAATCTCGCACATTTTGGGGAACCGTATACGTCGTAATTCGTTTCATTTGTTTTTTCAATCATCTTAATCTAGTGATTAATTTTAATTTATTATTCGTATAATTTAATATTTGAATAGAGCTTTTAAAATATTATAAGAACCGTAAATATTAGATCAGTGCACTATAAACTTCAAATTAACTTGGAAATGATATTTTTTTTTGTGGATAATAGTATTTGGTATAATTTTGGCCTATTAGATGTAACATTTTTAAGAATCCTCTTAAATACCATAAATTTAAAATGTTATTTAATCTTTAGTTTTTATAAATACTACAAATCTTGTGTTATTCAATAATTTTTTTCGAGATAATACAAGACTTTATAGTAGAATGATTCTAAAACAAAATTAAAACAGTAATTAAAATTGTAGACAAAAAAAAAATGTTTCCAATGACTCGTTATCAGTTAGAATTGGTTTTGACCAAAACAAAAATTACATGGATGATGTTGACCATAACAAAAGTTAGTGGCACAATCTAGAATTACACGAAACATCTGGGCCAATAACATAATTTTCTTATCTGAAGAAAAGCGTCTTCCGGAAGCTTTTGTTTTTGTTCGGTTCCGGTCCATGTGATTTATTTTTTTCAACTTTTTGGCTCAGATTTTTATCTTCTTCAGGAAGCTACCTAACTCGATCCAACTACATCACGTGCACTGCCTGCTCCTACCTGATCAAATGCATCATCATAAGTGGCTCAGTTTTTTTTTTAAAAATTATTCCTTTATATAGATATCGACCGGTTTGTGACCGGTTATGAGTCGGTTTAGGGGCTGTACCGGTGATCAAGTTAAAACACGTGAATTTATTTGTTAGTAATCTTATTTTCCTTTAGCTGAAGATCCTACGTAAAGCAGAGATTTTGTGCGCTTTTTGGCATATAAGATTACTTGCTTAACACGACAGCTGTGCTCTGCGTGAAGAAATTGTCTTCCATCAATATATACACACAAGTTGGTGTCTATATATACGTGACGGACCGAGAATAATTTTTAATTGGGGGTATAAACTATAATTGGAGAAACAAAAATAATTTTATTACGGGGCATTGAACGATTTTAATTAAAATTTTATATAATATATAAAGAAAATAATTCTTTTTTATTTAAAAGTGGAGCTAATGTCCCCACTACCTTCTACATGGTCTGCCCATATATATATATATATATTAATTAAAATTTTATATAATACATACGTTTTACACTTCCATGTCACCGGTTGAACTAATCAAGTTTGTTACAAAGTTGGAATTTCAGAATATCTTATTGGGAACTAAAGCCTAACAACTCCCAAACTTGGAATTTCAGAAAATTATTGGCTATCAAAGACACAACCAAGGAATTCATACGTTGCAAGGTTGGTGATGGAAAAATTTGCAGATTTTGGTATGATGTATGGACAGATCTGGGAGTACTATTGGACTATATTGGTCTTGATGGACTGAAACTAGCTCGTTTACACAAATCTGCAACAGTTTCAGATGTTGTTGAGGGAGATGGCTGGAAACTTCCTCCAGCAAGAAGCCCACGTATCCAAGAACTTCACATTGCCTTAGCCGGAAAAGAAGCGGCAAAGCAGTCCCATGGAGCAGATTGCTATCTCTGGAAATGTGCGGACTCCAAGTTCACCAAGTCTTTCTCAACGAAATCAACTTGGAAGCTACTCAGATTACGATCTCCTAAGGTCCACTGGTACAACCTGGTATGGTTTAAGCAAAGCTTTCCTCGATATGCTTTCCTACTTTGGCAGGTATTTCTGAACCGTCTACCCACACGTGATCGACTATCAAGGTGGGGCATAAACACAGAGCTCTCATGTCTCATGTGCCGGCTGGAGTCAGAATCACATAAACATTTATTCTTCAGGTGCATCATCTCTTCGGAAGTATGGAGAACCTTTACCCGACGAATCTGGACTTTACCACCATCTGATTACACCGATTTCGGACGATGGCTAAACGAGAATAAGGAGGAAACGTCACAACACCGCATCACCATAGCGAAGCTGCTCCTACAAGTCACTGCATATTATATTTGGCGAGAGCGTAATTCACGGATCTTTAAACAAGATGTCACATCCACAGCTTCCCTCATTGCCCGTGTGAATGATACAATGAGATGTTATCTATTTTCTCTACAAAGTGAGGGATCCTAAGAGTGCAATCCTATATTGCAGAGCTGACACTACCTCTTCGACCAACGGCGAGACGAGACGTGATGCAAGAAAACAAGAAAACAAGGTTTTATGCGGTTTTGTAAGTTTTGCAGATCCGAATTATGGAATCCAATCTTTTGGCTGTAAAATGGGGGCTATAACCCACATCCGCTTGGTTTATTGAGACTATGTAAACATTATTTTATTTATATATTCATCTTTACCAAAAAAAAGTTTGAATGATGTGTATATATTCATATATATATATTTATGTGTATATATTTATAAATATATATATATATATTTATATATATTAGTTGATCTTCTGTACAGAAATGAATATACAAATTTTTTTCATGATATAATATAAACAAAGGTTAGAATTTGAATTTTTTTTTACAATAAAGCAATGCGCTGATTAATTAGTCCACTAAAAACGCTTTAAGACAACAAATATTGCGATATTGCCAAAAACAAAAACGATTAAATGGTAACGAATCTGTTGCAATATTATTTCTAATATCTTTTAGCTTTTTTCTAGGGTTTGTAAATTTCATGTGTAAGTGTTTGTTATTGTTGCAAAAAAATTATTTTTTTTTGCGTGTTAAAAAACATGACACCATCTCTCGTCACCTCTATTTGCTTGTAAAGTGATTTTTTTTTTGCTAATTTTTTCTTATTTTTATTTATTTTTTTAGCATAATTCTATTTTGGAATTATCTTCCATAAGGGTTTTTGTAGTCGGGTCCAATATTATTTTCTATCATAATAAAATGTTGCTCAACCGCAAAAATTTAGCAAAAGTATAATTGTAAGGTGGAAAAATTTAATGGTCAATAACATAAAATCGTAATCAAATATAGTACGCATTTATTTCTTTGATACTAACTTATATACATCACCATTACCAAACTTGACGTCCAAGCAACCCCCAATTCTTAGTATTTTAATTTATTTTTTTGTTAAATATATTTATTTATTATTTTCCTTCCAAAGCTTAACTTTCACTTGCCCATCTTCCTACACAACCTCCTCTTCTTCCTCTTCTTCTTCTTCTTCTTCTTCTTCTTCTTCTCTCTCTCTCTCTCTCTCTCTCTCTCTCTCTCTCTCTCTCTCTCTCTCTCTCTCGTGTAGACAAGTAAGAGACAGAAATCATTGAGAGGGAAGATATGAATTGGTCAGATGGTTCAGAAGATAACTACGATCTTGATCTCGAAAGAGCTATATCGATCGATCATCCATTGATGGTTGCATCAAAATTCCGATCTCAATCACGTATAACCGTCGGTCCAAACACCGGCAAATCTCATAATACCATAACATGCCCTTCATGTGGGCATAAGATCCATCGACAACAAGACCAGGTAACAATCCACATCATGAACCCTTGTCATGATTTTTAATGGTGTGACACTTTATATTTGATGTCACATATTATGAATGTGTTATATATATGGTATATAAGGTTGGAATCATCAAAGATCTACCGAGTTTACCCGCGGGAGTGAGGTTCGACCCGTCGGATAGAGAGATTCTGATGCATTTGGAGGCGAAGGTGTCATCGGATAAACGAAAACTTCACCCGTTGATCGACGAGTTCATCCCGACGCTCGAAGGAGAGAACGGGATTTGCTACACACACCCTGAGAAACTACCTGGTATATATGTGTGTGTGTGTATATATGTATGTGCATATATTTTACAATTATACATATGGGCGATTCGTATATATCTCTAATAAGAAACGTGCTCATCTCAATGAAACGTTAATCAGATTAACCTAACTCGTTATTTACACACTTTTATATTGATAGAATCAAACCCTAAGCCTAAAATGTTTATCCGATTTTCGGGTTCAAATTCAAATGCATGATGTAGGAGTAAGGAAAGATGGGCAAGTCAGGCACTTTTTCCACAGGCCATCAAAGGCATACACGACGGGGACGAGAAAGCGTAGGAAAGTGAGTACGGACGAGCGAGGGCACGAGACGAGGTGGCACAAAACGGGCAAGACCAGGCCGGTCTCGTCGGGACAAGGATCGTTGAAAGGCTTCAAGAAGATTCTAGTGCTCTACACAAACTACGGCAGGCAGAGAAAACCCGAGAAAACCAGCTGGGTGATGCATCAGTACCATTTAGGACACAGCGAAGACGAGAAAGACGGCGAGCTCGTTCTATCGAAAGTGTTCTACCAGACGCAGCCGAGGCAATGCGGCTCGTCGATGGAGGCGAAAACGAAGGGTTTCGCCCCGGTAGATCCGCGCAATTACTCTGAAATCGACGGTTTAGGGTTTGAGGATGGAGGGCAAGAGGGGAATAACAGGGAGATTGATCAGAGGCAAGTGATTCATGAGTTGGTGGTGCGTGAAGGTGATGGGTCATGTTCACTGCTTAGGTTTACTTCTGATGCAAGCAAGGGCAAATAAATAGATGAAGAATTTAATAACATATATACATATGTATGTATGTATGTATGTATGTATGTATGTATGAAGTGGAGTGAAGGAGAGGCAAAGAATTACGTGAGAGAAAAACATAGGAAAAGATCCATCAGAGTAAATTATCGCAGAGCGGTTAGGGTTTTGGTGAATGTAAAAATAAGGCTCTAACATAACTTATTATCAAGCCAATACTGAATTTTAAAAAATAAAATTTTTATAAAAACATGGATCGTTTATTTAAATTTTTTTTGTTATCGGTAATAACAAAATTTTACATTTACTTTGTCATGTGAGGTCGGAATCGGCTCACGTCAGCAATGCACGGCGGCATGACGAGATGATGATGTCACCATTTGCATATTAAAAATTAGCACTTGTGAAATAATTTTATTCAATTTGTAATCCATAGACAGCGTTTCTCTCTAAAGACGCACTTAAACACTTCATCATTTTAGTCATGACAAGAAAAAAAAAAAGATCCTTTGAAAAAACACAAGCAAAACGCAAACGCCAAACGCAGCTAGAGGGCGACATCCAAGGAGCGATTCTAGCCACGTATATGTCTCGTCCTTGAGAATGGTTGCTCGGAACAATCCCATTCATCCCGATTCCAATCAGGGCCAGTCCGGTAGTTTTACCCGGACTAATCTGAACCCCACCCGGATCGAGCAGTTAGGGTGGACGTTTCGGAAATAGGTTCAAATTTGGAACGGAAGTGTATTGGTTCGCGTTTTTCGGTTTTACAAAAATAGATACTAATCGGTTTTTATATTATATCTGGTTCGGTTCGGTTTCAGTTTGGTTTGGCTCTGATTTTTATTAAAAAATTAGATTTTTTTTGAATTTTCGATTTTTCAGGATTTTTTAAAAGGGACAAACCCAATAAAAACCTTCAAGTTTGCTAATTATACAAAAAAAAACTTCGACTTAAAATTCAGCATAAAAAAACATCAACTATTAATTTTGAACAAAAAAATATTAACTATACAAATTATTTAAAAATAATATTTTATTTTAAATTTATTATAAAAAATTATCAATTATTAATTTTAATAAAACATCATCAATTATTAAAATATAAAAAACATATATTAATATTTAGATTTTTTTATGAAATTAATAATTGATGATTTTTTTATAACAAATTTAAAGTAAAAGACTGTTTTTAAATAATTTATATAGTTAATGGTTTTTTTTGTTCTTAATTAATAGTTCATGGTTTTTTATGATAAATTTTAAGTAGAAATTTTTTTTTGTGTAATTAGTAAACTTAAAGTTTTTTTGGAGTTTGTAATTTTTTAAAATTCGGTTCGATTCGATTACGAGAAATTCGATTTTTTCAAAATAATATCGTTCAAAAATTTAGAACGATTATGTGAAAAATAACGTATTTTTGGTTTCAGACCGAATAGATTAAATTAAAATACATTTTAAAAACTATACAATTATATATAAATAATTAAAATACGTTTTAGCTCGAATCTCCATTTTCCGATTATTTGCTTCCACTGAAATCTTTAGAACCCTCCGACTCATCTAGAGTCTACGGGGAAGATTTTTCAGATTCATCCGGACATCGAAGCTTTTTTTTTTTTTCAGCGGATCCTTTCGTCATCAGCCGCCGCTTCATCCCGGACACGATATCGACATCACCGGGAGGTTTTTCCGGCGGATTTGTTTCCCTAGTCTCAGACGAATTCTCGAGAATTTCTCCGTATAGATCTGTCGGTGAATTCCGTTTTTTCATCTTGTAGTGTTCCTTGTTTCTGTTTTAGCGTAAACTGTTGGGATATGGATCCGTGATTTCTGAGCATCGTCTGCTGTTTGTGGTTCGGTGTTTTCACGGAAAATTTGGTCCAAACCGTGATCAGTCCATTTTTTTAGCTGATTTGCTCCGTCGATTTATGATCTATTGTACTTCAAATCCAGATTTTGCCCAACAATTTAGGAGTGGAACTTAATTATGTAGCGTGACCTTTCTGTTCTTTTACAGGTTAGCTTAATCCGTTGGTTCCAAAAATGTCTTCAGCTCAAGATCCATTCTATATTGTGAAAGAGGAGATCCAAGAATCTGTAAGTTTCGTGTTGGATTTGGATGTGTTTTCAAAACTATTATGGTTATTTTTCAACGAGTGATGTTGGGTTTGGCTATGGATTCATTGTCAGATTGATAAGTTGCAATCTAATTTTCACAAATGGGAGCGAATTCCACCTGACACGGGCGAGCAAGTTCATCTGACTAAGGAGCTTCTGGCTGCTTGTGAGAGCATCGAGTGGCAGGTACTCAAATCTATGGAATGATGTAGAATGTAATTTGGGTTTAGAAGATGATCTCCATTATGGTCGAATGTTTTCAATTCTTTCTATTAATGGTCGAACACTGTGAAGGAAGTTGTGGGTTCGAGCTGATCCTACGGAATGTACAAGACCCATGATAGATTTTCTAATCGATTAAATTCATCAGCCAAATTGAAGTATTCAACATCTACTGAAGATTTCCTAATTGATAGGAAGTTGGATGAACTGAACAAAGCAATCACTGTAGCAGCCAGAGATCCTGCCTGGTATGGCATCAATGAAGCCGAGCTTGAAAAACGTAGGACTTGGACTAGCAATGCTCGCACACAGGTATATATATCTCTATGTTTGCAACAGAGTATAGTCTAAAAGAGTTTGTTCTCGAGTTCTTGATCCCTTCTAGTCTTTGTCCTTTCTAGGTCGGGAGTGCAAAGAAAACTGTTTTAGCTGGAAAGGGTAGTAACGGAGTGGCTGGCGCAAAAGAAATGCGACGAGAACTAATGAGAATGCCAAATTCTTCCGAGACAGAGAGATATGACCAGTTTGCTGCCCGAAATGATGATGATTTTGTACAATCACAATCAGACCGGCAATTGCTCTTGATCAAGTATAACCCTTTCCCTTCAATTCTTCAGTTTCCTCTCCATCCCTTCACATATGAGCTAGTACTTTTAGCAAATTTGTGTTGACATGTCTGGAGTGAAAGATTTTTCTTGGATTCAGAAAGCAAACAGAAAAAGAAAAAGTGGAGAGATTTATACGCATAGTATTTGTTGTGACTGTTGTGCCGTTTTTCGGATGGTAGGCAACAAGATGAGGAATTGGATGAGCTCAGTATAAGTGTACAGAGAATCGGGGGAGTGGGCCTCACTATACACGATGAACTCGTCTCACAGGTATTAGTATTAACCTGTTCTTGTAATCTGCTCAAGAATCTTATAATATATTCACATTATGCACCGATATTTTGACATCTTGAAATGTCATACTCTTCCGGGTGTTTCAGGAGAGAATAATAGATGAATTGGGTACCGAGATGGACAGTACAAAGAACCGCCTCGATTTCGTTCAGGCAAGTTGCAATCTATTCTGCATTCTTGATATAACAGAATCCGGGTATCGGGTCATAGTAACGACAATCTCGGTTGCAGAAAAAAGTCGGGATGGTAATGAAGAAGGCCGGGGCGAAAGGCCAGATAATGATGATATGTTTCCTGCTCGCCTTGTTCATCGTCTTATTCATTCTCGTCTTCGTTGTCTGATAAAGGAACACGAACACGAACACGGGAGGGACAGGCAATTGAGGCAAGTTCCGTACTGTACTGTACGTAGCTTTGTGTTCATGGGTAGACAGAATATGCAGAGCAAAGAGAAGAACAAGACTGTCCAAGTTTAATAACTTTCAGAACATACGACCAAATCATCCATGTTATACACCATTAGAAAGATAATTTTGATATCTACGAAACGATATCAAGAACATGCAATTCCGATAACGGTATAGAAAGTTATGTTCAAACCAACATCATTATATCAATATGATTTTTGTTTTAAAACCGGAAAACCAAATCCGAACCCACGGCGAACCGTGTCTCCTTAAGGAAATTATTCCCCGCGCGGTACCTACGGTTAATGGAATATATCCTCCCAGGATAGGACGGACGTACCTCACCGGAACAGTGGTACTTCAAACTCCGGTGCCTTGTCGAACTCAAAGCTCGGTTTGAATCACAAAGGAAAAAAGATGATTTTCTTTCTTTTGTAGAAAGCTTTTGTGTTTTTCTTGATGTTCTTAAAAATGAAAACAAAGCCTCCTATTTATAGGATTGAAAAATTGTAAAACTCCCAAAAGTCATAAATATTTTTTAAGTTTTAGAATATAAATGTGGAGAATAACATATAAAAATATCTCCTTTCATTTAATTAAAAAAAACTCCAACA